AGGATTCTTAGGGTATGAGCATCTTTGGCTCCCATTATCCTGCCTTATTGCATGCCCATAAAGAGCTCAAAGAATTGTTGGGAGATAGACCCCCAAATTGAAGGGGTAGAGATGCTATAATAAAAGTTGGTGCTGTGTAAAACAACAGAAGAAAGGAAGAAAGTAGTCAGTGTTACTGAGAGATAGAGTGACATTTGTGCTGAGTATGGAAAGATGTGAACTTGTTTGATAAGTGACTGGGGGAACATTTCAGGGAAAAAGAAGCAATGATAGTGATAGCGATAATAGCAACTGCCTGCCCTTCTATAAGATTATCTTACTGCAATCCTCACAAGTGTTAGATACTGTTATTGACCATTATAGCTTCTACATAATCAGAATGTCTTATGTCTATAAGAAGATACGTCTGTAATGTCTTCTAATGTAGAATAGAAGTGGTAAAATTATTTTGTTGGGCTAGGCATGGTGGCTTATCCTTGTAATCCCAGCACTTTGAGAGGCCAAGGCATCAGGATCACTTGAGCCCAGGATTTCAAGACCAGCCTAGACAATATAGTGAGACCCCTGTCTTTTTTGGGGGGAAAAAATGATGGCACATGCCTATAGTACCAGCTACTTGGGAGGCCAAAGTGGTTGGGTTGTTTGAACGTGAGAGGTTGAGGCTGCAGTGAGCTAAAATCACAACACAGCATTCTAGCTTGGGCAGCAGAGTGAGACCCAGTCAAAATGAAATAAAATGAAATAAAAATCATTGGCTTGTTGAGAGGATTAACATTGATTACACATGAGTAAAGTATATCACATAGGAAATGCTTAAAACATGCCAGATAGAGGGTGGATAAGAGAACTGCTTAGGAGGTAGAATTGATTTGGTCACTTGTTCTGAAAGTGGGAGACAGGAGAGAGTTCAGAGTAACTTAGGCCACTGTTTGGTTTCGGAGCATGCATGGAAGATGGTCTTATTCAGTACTGCAGGAGGAGGAGCAGGTCGTTTGTTTGTTTGTTGAAGGCAGGGCTTTGGGAAGAGGATATGAGGTACATATGAGAATACTCTATTGAAATTAAATGGAAATTTAAATAGTGTAGGTCAAACACTCAGAAGAGAAGCCAAAGATGAAGTTGTCACTATTTTTTCGACTTTATTATCTAAAATGGAATTTTCCATCTTCTCAAGCCGGTTTCCCATCTCAACTTTCCTGTTTCTTCTCACCTTTTAAAAATTCTTTTATTTTTTCAAGCTTAACATCTTTTTCTCATCCTTAATTTCTGTCTTTCCTTACCCAGTGTAGGGCTGGTAAATGTTTGACAGTCAGCTCTCTGGTAGGGGGAAGAAACCTCATTTGCAGTGTTTGCTGATTTCTGTAGTACAAGTCTTCCTCCCATGGCCAATTTCAGCGTGCGGCTGCATTTGTTCTACAATGATAGAGTTGAAAAGCTGCAATAGAGACTGCATAGGCCTGCAGAACCTAAAATATTTACAGTTTGGCCCTTTAAAGAAAAAGTTTGCCAATCTTTGCTGTAGCATTTCCAAAATAATAAAACTTTAATGGGGTAGGATAATTTAATACTTACTGTTAACTTATTTTATCCATCGTGAGGAGGGGTAGGAATGACCTGTTTAAGGGGGCTGTGTGTGAGAGGTCATGAGGTCATTTTATGGGCTTAAGCTTTTTCTCTCAATGAGATAAGAAGAGTACCATGTTCTGGCTTGTGTTTAAAAAAGAAAACCCCGGCTGCTGTTTTGAGGATAGATCACAGGGCAGGCACAAAGATGGAAGTAGGGAGATCAGTTGGGACACCATAGTTACAAGTTAGGTAAGAGTTGATCTTTGCTTGAATCAGAGTAATAACTGTGGAAGTGGTAAGGTGAGTTCAGATTCTGGATACATTCTGAAAACAGAGTTGACAGGATTTGCTGATGGTGGAAAGGGGTGTTAAGGGTGAGTCCAGGGTAAGTGGTACCAAAAGGGTGCCTTAGGCTAGAGCCTGAGTTACTGAGATCACATTACAGCAAGTTGTTACATGGGAGATTTTAGGAAGAAAATTGAGACTTGGATAATTTTTCTTGAATCACTTCCTTTTGGCCATATATGTTCCAAGAGGAAAAATTCTTTGTTTAAAATAATATTTCCTTTACTTGTAAGAAATGACACTTTAAAATATTTTAGGAAACAGTAATGTTTTTAAAATATGGCATTTTTAGAAAAGGAAACTGTAATAAAACCTAATTTGGATAAGATTATTTTGGTCCTGTAATTTGCTGACTTAAAAAAATTTATTCAGAAATGAACAATTTGGGGGAGGGGGTTAAATTTCAGCTCCCCCTTTTTAAAGTTTAGTTTAAAGCTAAGAGTTAATGTTTCATTGTATTGTTAAGCAGTTATTACTCATGTCTTTTATGTAGGTTTTACTTGTAATGGACACAAGGACAGAACAGACCTTCATTTTAAAAGTAAGTAAAATTTGTGACTAGGCATTGTGGCTTACGCCTATAATTCTAGCACTTTGGGAGGCTTAGGTGGGTGGATCACCTGAGGTCAGGAGTTCAAGACCAGCCTGGCCAACATGATGAAACCCTGTCTCTACTAAAAATACAAAAATTAGCTGGATGTGGCAGTGGGCACTTATAATCCCAGCTACTCAGGAGGCTTATGCAGGAGGATCACCTGAACCTGGGAGGTGGAGATTGCAGTGAGCCGAGATTGCACATTGCACTTCTGCCTAGGCAACAAGAGCCAAACCCTGTCTCAAAGAAGTAAGTAAAATTTGTATGCTTAATGAATTTAAAATTTTAATTTCAAATTATGCTTCTGAAAGAAAAGTTAATATTTTAGTTAATATTTAGGTAATATTAACTAAGTAGTTAATATTTTTCCTCCCTAGGTTATGAATGTTCTTTTATGTTTGTGGTGATCTTTATTTACTTTTCTTTCTATCTTTTTATCACAGTTGATAGCATGCATTTAAAAAGATTTTCGATACAGAGTATGGAGGAAATAATTTGGACGAAGTGAAGAACAATTTCAAGTTGTTTGAATGTGTAGTGTGTAGTTTAAATACATCAGGACCATTTTGTACAATTGTAAAGACTACACACAGTCTCACCTTCGATTATCACTATAGTTCTTAAGAGCTAAAATTTTTCCTTAAAGTCTCGTTACAGGTATTTTGGGAAAGTGTTATTTACATTCCTAGTCCTCTTTTTGATCTAAATTCAATTTTGGTTCTATACATAATGCAATTTGTAACTAAATGAATAAGAGAAAAAAACCCTCAATTTTGTAATTTTGAAATTGTATTTGGAATGGACTGTGATAGTACATATTCTGAAACTATCCTAATTTAAGCATTCCCAAAGCATTCAGAAGGTGAATTGATTAATTTTTTATTTCTTTTTCTGATGCTTTTTTATTTTGCTGATAAGGCATGGCAGTAGGTCACATTGACACATACTGAAACACAGTTTGTTTTTGTAAATATACTTTATCACTGATATTTCCCCAGTTTTTAAAAGCAGAGTATGACACCAGTAAACAGACAAACTTTGTTCCTTGTCAGGAGACTTAATATTGTTTGTACTTTTTGGGGATAGGATTTTAAATTTGCCTGGTTAATCTAAGAATACCTTTTGTGTCTCAGGAGTTTGCATTGATCTTACAATGTCTACTGCTTTAAAGATATAGATAAGTAAAATAAAACTTAAGAAAAGGTCACAGAGAAATAACTGTGTGTCATCCTGATGACTTAGTTTGAGAGCATCTCTAATAAAAACACTGACCCACGTAATTGATTTTAATGGCAGCTTTGTGGCATCTTCCTCCTCTGGATTCACGCCAGATGCCATCAGCAGAGCCTCCAGGGACTGGGGGGCATAGAGCAGCAGATGAGTGGTTTCTCTGAAGCCCAGAGTAACTCGGATAGATTAGTTTGGTTGATAAACACAGAGCACAGCAGGCTCCAAAGGCAACTGAGGATACAACTGACCTTTTTGTTCTCTGTCAGGGTCTAAGGAAAAGCAGTGAATACAGCAGGAACAGAAAGACCATCATCCCCCGCTGTGTGCCCAACATGGTGTGTCTGCATAAGTACATCATCTCTGAGGAGTCGGTATTTCTTGTGCTGCAGTATGCGGAAGGTTGGTTTGTAGTTTGGATTGTTTATGCAGTGAAGAATATCACCTACTTAGCTTTCCAGTGTCTCTCTCTGTCATTTCGTGAGCAGATAGAATATATGAAACACTTGGAAGAAACCATTTCCTATTCCTCCGCTCTACCTCCCTACTTTATGTTGTGAGGGAAAATGAAAACCCAGGTGAACAGCAGATTTCATTTGAACTATGGTACCATTTGTAGATTTACTTCACGGCTTACTTTTTCATAGAATTTACCTAATATAATGAGAATTTTAATGTGAATGTGTGTTAAGAGAGCTAGATTTTATTTTAGGGATATTTTGTTCACTTGTTCTCTGCTAAAAAGATACATTTATGTTAGATGACTAAAATGAAAAGCATCCCCTGAAGAATTAATTAATTACCTCCTTCTTTTAGAAGGCAAGGGTGTTTGTTTAACATTTGACATTACCTAGTTATTCTGATCTGAGTTTTTATGAATATAGCCATTGGCATCACATATGGGTACAAAGCCATTCTCTGCCTTCAAACTATTTATGAAATTTCAACTCTTTGTACAGGGAGCAGGTGGCAAAAAAATATTATGTTTTGATTTGTGTTTGCCCTTTAATACCTAAATTTAAATAAATAGTCTTTTATATAGGATGACTGAAAACAGCCTGTAAATATGAATTCACTTAATATATATTGCCATTTGGCTTTTAAGAGGTATTCGTAAAATAGTAAAAAAAAATTGTTTTCCATATTTCATGAAGGCATTATGATTTTTATATAACTAATACACTTTACTAATAGGCATAACGTTTGTATTTAGTACAATTTTTTAGGAAAATGAGTCATTGCTTTCTCGAATGAGGTCTTATATGATAACAAATGCAGGATTTTTGATGGGGGCAATAAACTATTCATATTGTTTATTGTGAAGTACAGCACAAGATAACTACAGATGGAGGGAAGACCTCCATATGCAGTATTTAATAGGAAATTCAGAAGGGGCTCTATGGTCTCTCAGGTATTAAGAGAGTTAATTGTGTGTGTGAATTGGATAACTAATTCACCTTTGTTCAGACATTATAGACAGCTTTTATCTGAGGATACCAGTGCATTACAGACATTATTGAATTAGAGGTCATGTCATCTGATAGCGAAATACAGCCACCTCTGGTGTGGAACAAAATAACTTGCGTAGTAATAATCCATAATAATTTAGAACAAGGTCAGTAGGATGAATGTAATTATAGTCAATATTCTATTACCCAATGTGGATTATTCATGTTGGAGATTATCTGTGGCAAAATTTTCAATCTTAGCTTACCTCCGTTATTTGTAGCTTTATCTTCCTCTTCTTCCTCTTCCTTCTCCAAATCATTTTTCAGTTTTTTTCTACCATCTTCTCACCTTCCCTTATACCTCTTGAAGCTGATGTTTTGATTGATTGTGCTTAAATGGTGTAGAAAATTTTTATAATCTCTTAAAGTCATAGACTTAGTACTTTTAAACTGTTTTATATTCTTCCTTTACTATTGACCATACCTGACTTTGAATGGCCACATGACCATAAAAATTTGTCTCTTTTGACCATTCATTTTAGGTGTCTATTAAGACAGTTTTATAATATAAAAATAGTAAATTATAGTACAAATAAGAACTCTGGATTAATTAAATATTCAGCAAATTTGTTGGGCCTGTACTATACCATAGGCTGCTTTTTACATGAACAAAACAAGGAAAGAGCCTCCCCTTTTAAAATTCAGATTCTTTATTTTTTTGTAGGGGTGGTGGTAAGGGTCTTGCTCTGTCTCCTAGGTTGGAGGGCTGTGGTACAATTATAGCTCACTGTAACTTTGAACTCTTGGACTCAAGTGATATCCCGCCTCAGCTGGGACTACATCTGTGCACCACTACATCTGGCTAAGTTTTAAATTTTTTGTAGAGATTGGTTCTCTGTATGTTGCCCAGGTTGGTCTTAAACTTCTGGCCTCTAGTGATCCTCCCACCTTAGTCTCCCACAATGTTGGGATTGCAGCTCTGAGCCACCACGCCAGGCCTGAAACTTTAATTCTTGTTGTGAAAAGTCAAACAGAAAAACAGAAAGCAAGAGAACACTGGATAATAAAAGGAACTATACAGATCTTTAATACAGGGAGATCTAATAAATAACAACTGGGGACTATGTTGAATTGGGTAGCCAATACATGTTGCCTCTGAGAAGGTGGCATTTAGGAAGAGTTCTGAATGGCAAAAGAACCATTTGAATGTAAGATACAGGTACAGGGATGAGTGTAAAAACAAACTTGGAATGTTTCATAACCAAGAAAGGCATCATTTGGCTGGAATGGAGCAGAAGGAGGGCAACATGAGACACATGTTAGTACATAACGCTATTGGAGAAGTAGGCAGGAGCCTTGTACAGCAGAGCCAGGACTTTGGCTTTTATTCAAGTGCATTGGAAAACCACTGGACATCTTAAGGAGTGACAGAATCTGATTTACATTTTAAAAAGGTCACTGACTGTTGTATGGGGAATGAGTTGTAGAAAGGCAAGAATAGATGCAGTAAAAAGGTGACTACAGGAGGCTAGTCAAAAGGTGCTGCTGGCTTGGCCTTCTGGGGCACCAGTGGAGATGTTTAAGGGTAAAGTCAATGGGAACTGTGATGGATTTGAGATTAGGAAGAGGAAAAGCTACAGCAATTTCTCAGATTTGGCTTGAGCAATGGAGTGAACTGGGTGATAAACAGTGTGTTGTCGTTTATATATCAGTGGTACTTTCTGTGGCACCTCCATAAATTAGGAAGTTGGCCTATGTCATAGAAAAGAAACTTTTGTATGCATGAATAGGTATTACTGAGAAAGCAAGTCTTGAACAGTTGTTTTCTCCATAACACGAATGCTTTGAATATGATTTGTAGCTTTAGCTTTCCACTGCTTACAGAACTATTCATGATTTATGTGAGTCTCTTTCCATTTGTAATTCATTTCATTAGAAATGTATTCAGCACTTGCTGAGACACAGGCATAGTTCTAATTTAGCAACGAACAAAACAGAAGACTTTACCCACATGGAGCTTACAATACATTACATTATAGAAGCAGAACGGACAATAAGCAAATATTTAAGTAAATATATGACATAGGTCCACAGGCCTAGAGGCAGGGGTGTGCATGGTGTACAAGAAACAGCAGGATCAGTGTGGCTGGAGCCAAACAGAAAGAGCAATAGGAAGATTGCTTAGAGAAGTGAGGAGGCAGGCAGGCAGATCCTGTATAGCATTGTAAGCCATGTTAAAACTGGACTTTTATTTTGAATGAGATAAAACGTTATTGGGGCATGCTGAGCAAAGGAGTGATGCAATAGGGATCACTGGCCACTTTATGGAAAACAGAATGTAGGACAGCAGAAGGAAAAGCAGGGAGACCAGTTTAGAAGTTGTTCACCCCAGCTGAGAATGCTGATGGCTTGGACAAGGCATGAGTGGTATAGGTCAGGGGTCCCCAGGCCACAGAGAGGTACCAGGAGGTAAGTGGTGGACAAGTGAACATTACTGCCTGAGCTCCACCTCCTGTCAGATCAGGGTGGCGTTAGATTCTCATAGGAGCGTAAACCCTATTGTGAACTGCACATGCAAGGGATCTAGGTTGCACACTCCTTACAAGAATCTAATGCCTGATGGTCTGAGGTAGAATAGTTTCACCCTAAAACCATCTCCACCCCATCCCTACCCCGACCCTGTCCGTGGAAAAATTGCCTTCCATGAAACTGGTCCCTGGTGCCAACAAAGTTGGGGACTGCTGGCATAGGTGGCGAAGAATGGTTATTAGAGTCTGAATATATTTTGGAGGTAGAACGGGCATGATTCTGTCTTGCATGATTTCAAAGTTTTTGGCTCAAATAATTGAAATAATGGAGTTTCTATTTACTAAGGTGTGGGAGAAGTAAATTTAGGAAGAAAATCAGGGATTCCATTTTAGACATGTGAATTTGAGATGCTTATTAAATATTCAGGTGATGGTGGGTAGACAGTTGGGATATATCAGGCAGGATTTTAGGAGAGAGGTTTAAAATGTTTACTATTCCTTTTAATTAATCCCTTTCTTAAACTATTTGAGAAAGAAAGGTGGGGAAACAAAATGTATTCAGTCAAGGCCATGAATGTTTAAGTTCCTAAGATGAGGGATTATGTATTCATCATATATATGATGAATTAACAGAATACTTGGTATTTAGAAGATGCTTAGTGTATAATTATTTAATACTGGGTCAATCAGAGAAAAGATGAAAGACCAAATTAAAAGATAGAAGTTGCAAAAGCCTCTGACTGTGGATGTACAAAATAGAAAGGAGGTGGAAAAGAATTTCTAAGCTACTTAAGGCCCCAAGGAATGAAATTATCCTCCTTTTATTAGTTTTTAAAAATTGTAAAACTAATTTATAAAATAAATTCAAACAAAATAAAAATGTATCAAGTCAAAATAAAAATTATTCCTCCTTTTTCACTTTATTGCCCAGACCTAGTATCCGCAGAAACAGGCGCTCTTTTAACAGTTTATTATGTATCTTCCAGAAACTTTCTGTGTTTATAAACATTCACCCCCTACCTGTCTGTTTTTAAAAAACTTAAATGGGTGTTACATGTTGCCTTGAGCTTGCATTTTTTTCCCCATCTCAACAGTGTACCTTGGATGCCTTTAGTATGTCCTTATCAGTATATTTAGGTCTATATTAAGAGAGGCAGTACGGTATAGTCATTAAAAATAAGGACTGTGGAGCAATGCTATCTGAATATAAATGCTGGCTCACCATTACTAGTGTGACTTTGAGCAAGTTATTTAGCCTTTCTGTGCCTCAGTTTCCTCATCTGTAAAATAGAGATAATATTAATCACGTACCTTATAGGGTTGATGTGAGGATTAAATAGTTGTATACGTAAAATGCCTAGTAGTACCTGGTACATGGTAAGCACTATGCATTTGCAAATAGCTATTACTGAGTTTAAATTGTTTCCAGTCCTCAACATATATATTTATACATACATGTTTTTGTTTGTTGTGTTTTTTGAGAATTATATGTAGGACAGATTTTTTCAAGTTGAATTGCTTGGTCAAAAGATGATTTTGCTTACTGAGATAGCAGTGTTTTTATCATACATATTAAATTTAAGTCCTAATTCTGACCAGGCAAATTAACAAACTTACTTTGCAATCTTATAGAAAACCAATAGATTTAAAATCTGAGGAGAGACAAAGAGTTTTAATTAAACATTAAGAATTGTTTAATTAAGATATTATTTTTTTTAAGTTTTTTTTAATAACTCAGTTTAATAAATATTTATTTCATACCTATTTTACGTGCTGGATGGAATCCTCTGCCGGCAGCTATTAAGACTTTGCAGTCTGGTAAAGGGGGTAATAACGGCATAAAAGTAATGTTGATATGGTGTTGTAAATGTCATAATGGGATGAAGGCGGTGGACAGAGGATTTAGAGAAGCTATGTATTGTGTCCAGTTAAGGAATACAAAGAAATTGGTAAAAGAGAACAGATTCTGAGAGACCTTCAAGAATAGGTAAGATTTTCACAAGCAGATATTGGGGAAACTAGTAGGAAAAAAACATTCTAAGATTAAGTATGGTATGAGGAAAAAGCTCAGCATGAATTCTGTGTTGAATAAGGAGAGAGGACCATATCATGGGTGGATAGCTGTATTACTCAGGAGTTCAGTCGCCTATGCGGAGTTGGTACATGATTCAGTAGGTGGAGGGAATTTGACTTCTTGAATGCAATGATGGCGTAAGATCTGTGCTAAAATAGATTAATTAGGCAGCAATTAGTAGGATAGAGTGATACTGGAGGGACTTAAAGTAAGGATCTAGTTGTAGCTATAGCATTATCCCCAAAAATGAAGACTTTAAGTACATTGAATTTTAGATTTCGGTAGCTTACTCAGGTGGAATTGGCCTAGGAATGAATGAAGCTTTTCTTATAACTTTCTTAGGTACTGTTTCTTGCTGATCAGTGGAACTTTACAGATGCAGGTACTGCTTATATGGTACATCTCATCATCTGATTTAACAAGCAATGACTTTGATGTCCTGCACATTGTGTAGGCAGTAGGCATACAAAAATGAAAAAGACTTGGCCCTTTCTTCAAAGTATTCATCATCTGGGAGAATTGAAAACCACTCAAGTCATTTTATTTGGATTGCATACCAGAATCTTAGTTTTAGGTTCAGGCATTATTGTTAGAGTGCTACAATATAGGTATTTGTGGTAAGAGGAATGTGAGTATTGTCAACAGACTAAAGAATATAGACTCAATGCGTAGCTCCTTTTAAACTTCAGTTGAAATATGGGGAAATGTGAAACACTGAGTATACTCTAAAGAGGACAGAAAATATTAGCTAAGAAAAAAATGAGAGGAAAAAGCTAAATGCCATAACGTCCTGTACCACTAACTGTTATCAAAATGGGGAAGACGATACCAAAATTAGCCAGGCGTGGTGGCACATGCCTGTGATTCCAGATACTTGGGTGGCTGAGGCAGGAGGATCACTTGAACCTAGGAGGTGGAGGCTGCAGTGAGCTGGGATCCCACCACTGCACTCCAGCCTGGGCTACAGAGTGAGACTCTGTCTCAAAAAAAAAAAAAAAAAAAAATTAAATAAATAAGTAAAATAGGAAAGATGGTTCACTAGATTGCTGCTACAAAGAGGTGTATGAGAATCCTAGGATTAATGTTATGACAGTTAGCCTTTATTGAGCATTTATTCTATGCTAGGTACCATGTGAGGTGCTATATGAATTTATTGAATTTCTTGAAATGTGAAGTAGGAAGAGGTATTTTCAATGTTTCCACTGACTTTTTTACACATGCAATTGACTGTCAATGGTTATTTTCCTTAAGGTTTAGGTGCCCTTAATATATAATGCTTAATGATTACACTAAAAACATGCTGAAAAACTGCCTTCTTTATATGGAGGGATTTATTTTTAACACATCATTCTTAATTTTCAATTTTTTGCAACTATAATTCTGTCTCCACAAAGTATACTTCTGCAGTTACTGCTTTTAAGATTTCTGGATCAAATTTAATGAATTATTCTTTCTTATAAAACTGTTTCTAGTCACTACTATTATAGCAGATTTTTGATACTTAGCTATAATTTTTTAATGTAAAAATTCTAATTGACAAAAAAGGTTGAGGTGTTTTAATGGTTAAAACTGTGGTGAAAAAATAACTATATAACAAGTATTGCTGGTGAAATACTGGATTTTTAAAATTTCTCTGATTCATATAAAAGTGATTTTTGTGATTTTAGTTTCATAGATATATGTCAGAATACATGGTCAGAATTTCAGTAGCTTGGTTCATTAAGGGATGCCCAATTAATCTTCCTCAATAGCTTTACTTATGTAACATATTAATATATATGGTGGGGCATAAAAGGGGAAATATATTATTAATATGTCATTAATAAAGGCATAATTATGTACCACATGCCAAATTCCTCCAATCCTGGACTGGACATTTTCAAAATAGAATAATATTGTTGATTTTTTCCCCTCATTGTAGTATACAATTTTAAACAGCACTTATTTATGTATTTTCATTTGACCAAGGGACCATGCTTGAAAAAATTATATAAACAGAGCAGAACATAATCAGATGTTTCTAAAACTAAATGATATTTAACTTTAGAGTAGAATTTTAATTATGAAATTTCATATTAGTATTTGTTATAACTAATTTCTCTTCCAAGGAAGAAATAGGTTGGCATTTTAAAAAATAATTGATTTCAGGAAATATGCTTGAAACCATACTCACCAAGTCAGCAATAACAAGCATTTTATTAAATATGCTTGCCTTAAGGCACAATTGATATTAATGGGTATTAGTGACTTGTTTTGATTGACTTTTAAAATAATTTTTGTTTTTCTAATGGCTTAATAAATAACTATTAATTTGGAGCTCTTAATTCTTTTGTTTGTTTTGTTATACTTGTTCACAGGTGGCAAACTGTGGTCATATATCAGTAAATTTCTAAACAGAAGTCCTGAAGAAAGTTTCGACATCAAGGAAGTGAAAAAATCTACACTTGCAAAAATTCACCTGCAACAGCCAGCTTCTAGTCCTCAGGACAGCAGTAGCTTTGAATCCAGAGGAAGTGATGGTGGAAGCATGCTTAAAGCTCTGCCTTTGAAGAGTAGTCTTACTCCAAGTTCTCAAGATGACAGCAACCAGGAAGATGATGGCCAAGATAGCTCTCCAAAATGGCCAGATTCTGGTTCAAGTTCTGAAGAAGAATGTACTACTAGTTATTTAACATTATGTAATGAATATGGGCAAGAAAAGATTGAACCAGGGTCTTTGAATGAGGAGCCCTTCATGAAGACTGAAGGGAATGGTGTTGATACTAAAGCTATTAAAAGCTTCCCAACATACCTTGCTGCTGACAGTGACAGCCCCAGCACACAGCTGAGAGCTCACGAGCTGAAGCTCTTCCCCAACGATGACCCAGAAGCAGTTAGTTCTCCAAGAACATCAGATTCCCTCAGTAGATCAAAAAATAGCCCCATGGAATTCTTTAGGATAGACAGTAAGGATAGTGCAAGTGAACTCCTGGGACTTGACTTTGGAGAAAAATTGTATAGTCTAAAATCAGAACCTTTGAAACCATTCTTTACTCTTCCAAATGGAGACAGTGCATCTAGGAGTTTTAATGCTAGTGAAAGCAAGGTAGAGTTTAAAGCTCAGGACACCATTAGCAGGGGCTCAGATGACTCAGTGCCAGTTATTTCATTTAAAGATGCTGCTTTTGATGATGTCAGTGGTACTGATGAAGGAAGACCTGATCTTCTTATAAATTTACCTGGTGAATTGGAGCCAACAAGAGAAGCTGCAGCAATGGGACCTACTAAGTTTACACAAACTAATACAGGGATAATAGAAAGTAAACTCTTGGAAACCCCTGATGTTTTATGCCTCAGGCTTAGTACTGAACAATGCCAAACACATGAGGAGAAAGGCAGGGAGGAACTGAGTGATCCCTCTGGGCCCAAATCCCATAGTATAACAGAGAAACACTATGCACAGGAGGATCCCAGGATGTTATTTGTAGCAGCCGTTGATCATAGCAGTTCAGGAGATACGTCTTTGTTACCCAGCTCAGATCCTAAGTTTCAAGAACTTGGAGTAGTGGAGTCAGCAGTAACTGCAAACAACACAGAAGAAAGCTTATTCCATATTTGCAGTCCACTCTTAGGTGCTAATGAATATATTGGAAGCACAGACACTTTAAAAACAGAAGAAGTATTGCTGTTTACAGATCAAACTGATGATTTGGCTAAAGAGGAACCAACTTCTTTATTCCAGAGAGACTCTGAGACTAAGGGAGAAAGTGGCTTAGCGCTAGAAGGAGACAAGGAAATACATCAGATTTTTGAGGACCTTGATAAAAAATTAGCACTAACCTCCAGGTTTTACATCCCAGAGGGCTGCATTCAAAGATGGGCAGCTGAAATGGTGGTAGCCCTTGATGCTTTACATAGAGAGGGAATTGTGTGCCGCGATTTGAACCCAAACAACATCTTATTGAATGATAGAGGTCAGGAACTTTTGCAAATGCATTTCTTTTTATTCGCTGTTGCTTCCAATTAACTGAGTAGGCGTTTTATCTTGTAATTAGTATCTTCATTTCCTGTCTAGAGCTTCATTATCAGTGCAGCAAATTCACCCCCAGTAATAGCTTCTAGTACTTAATGATGCCATTATTCTTAATGATACTGTTTTTAGCTACAAAAGGAGTAATTACAGTTCACTTCTGCAGAAAATGGAAGAGAAAAATGTTTTGATTTCTCCTGTCGTTTTGTTTTTAGGACACATTCAGCTAACGTATTTTAGCAGGTGGAGTGAGGTTGAAGATTCCTGTGACAGCGATGCCATAGAGAGAATGTACTGTGCCCCAGGTTAGAGCAATCTCCTAAAATGTTTCACTTGAAAGAGTGGTTCGGCATCTCTCATTTCTTTATATAAGTTGTATTTTTCACTAGCAGTTTACGTATGTGTTGGATTTGGTTATTTGTTTAACCCTTCAAAAAACAAATTTTGGGGCTAAGCCCATTAAATAATTCATAGGTATATATGTGTATATATGTATGTGTGTGTTTACATATTTATTGTTGTTGAATGAGTTTATATCTCAGTAAGAACTGCAGTGAATTCTTAGAAATGTCTTAACTTCTTAGTGTTTACAAGGACCTTTAAATATCCTGACCCTTTTTAGATGCATGATTTTTTTCGTTTTGTTTTTGAGACAGGTCTCGCTCCGTCACATGGGCTGGAGTGCAGTGCTGCTGTTATGGCTTACTACAGCCTCCAATTCCTAGGCTCAAGCAGTCCTCCCACCTCAGCTTCCAAGTAGCTGGGACTACAGGTGGACACCACCATGCCTGGTTAATTTTTTTTAAAGCATTTTTTTCGTAGAGATGAGGTCTTTCTGTGTTGCCCAGGCTGGTCTAGGACTGCTGGGCTCAAGCAGTTCTCCCATCTCGGCCTCATAAATTGCTGGGATTACAGGTGCATGCCACTACTCCTGGCTAATTTTTTTTTTTTTTGTAGATACGGGGCCTTGCTGTGTTGCTCAGACTGATCCTGAATTCCTGGCCTCAAGCAATCCTCCACCCCAGCCCCTGGAATAGCTGGGATTACAGGCACAAGCCACAGTGCCTGGGAAAATGGAGATTTTTAAAAATGCAATATGATTTTAGTGATTTGCCAACCTAGCATTTTAGAACAAATGTTTTTAGATACAACAGTTTTATCTTACCCTTACTGAATTGTTTTTATTTTTTAAAAATTAGAGATTTATTTTGTGATTATTAGATCTTTTACTGACAATGATAGGTAGCATAAGCATGTGAATTGCATTTGAGCTGGTTTTTCTCACTCATCAGTGCAGATGGTGCTGCTAAGTTTGTTCACCTTTTGCTTACCATTTAGCCTTTTTGGATGGCTAGAATTACTTCACCTGTCACCCCACTGGCCTTCAAAGGAATTTGAAGCTGATTTTGTTGGCATAATCTGCTTAGTTGTTGATCAATACAGTATTTAATACTTACCAGCTTAACCAGTGTATTGATGCTAACCTTGTTTCTTTGCATAATGTGAAGTCATGATCATAAGGATTAAAAGAGCTATATTGTTTCTAGTTACAACCTTCATTGTTAAGAATTATTTTCGTAGTAGAGAATAGCAGTTTTCCAACCTATAAAATAAATATCCTAAAATGTTCTTGAAAGCAACTATTAGGGTTTTCTTTTCTTTCCTCCTTCTTCCTTCAAATTAAGACTTTTTTGTTTCTTTTTAGAGACAGTAGAGCACTCCTACATTTTTTCTGTCAAGTAGATTATGTGATGCTATGTTTTGAAATCATATTAGTTAATAGGATAAAAAATTTCATGTTGAATTCACTTTATTATAGTTACTTGATTAAAAAAACAAATTCTCCCCACTTTCTAATTTGATAAGAAATAACATTTTAGGTTCCAAGGTACTTAGAAATATATTTGTTAATTCTGATGAATTTGAAAGTTTTAGGATCAAATTTAATTTGGGAGTTTTTTTTTGAGTCAAGCTTGTTACATCCTCAAGTGAAGTATGGTAGGAACCATGTAACAAAACCAAACATTTATGAAATATTGTTTAATATTTGTAACTAGCTCCTTATTTCTTACTCTTGTTGTTACTTTCTCTTTTGTCTTGGTTCCTAATAAGTATGCATATGGTTACTTACTGGAAACTCTGTAAGTTTGTACTTTGGCATTCTGGCAGATTATTTTTCCTTATTTTCAAGCAGTCACATTTACTTTAATATCCATAACATGTTGGTATTCTGAGAGTTGTAATATATGTGGAACAGAAGCATATTACATTCATCAACAGATATATACTTTCAATTTTGTATACTGATATACTGAATTTAATACAGATCAGTTTCCAAGTTCTAATTTTTAAGCCTTGTCCCAGAAATTACAATTCTCTCAGTTTACCAGCAGGTGGCAGTCTACCATTAATGGATTTTTGCTGTCCTCTTCCAGGTTGTCCTTCACTAGCATTTGAGAAAAGCTGTAGTCTGAAGAGGGGCTTTGTTGTCATTATTTACATAAAAGAATTGTACTTTCAAGCTGTGTGAGTTTCGAAAGTGTTCTAGTGTTATGGCATGCTTTGAACAATGTGGAAAGGCTTTCCATTCCTTGGGCCTGTTAATGTACCAACCAGGTAAAAGAAAACCAGTAATGGCCTCAACAAAAAAGTAATACCAATGTACAAATTAAGATGACCTTAAATCTAGAGAGTTATAGAACTTGGTTAAGTCTATGTGCTCTCACCCTCATTCATAACTTAAGGGGAATTGGAGCAAAAATTTGTGAGTTACTGTTTGCCCCAAAAGTTCGTAGCAGTGCTACAGATAAATCAAAACTACCCCTAGGAACACTAAAGGATTGAAGTAATCCCTTCTCACATGATCCCCTCCGTCTTACTCCCCAAGTCTAAGCTGCTGATGTTTGGTTAGAAAGTAAAGCTATCACAAGATTATGATGAGAGCAACTCACTCTGTTTAAACAGTATGTACCCTCTACCCCTGCCACTTCACCTCCTGGGAATCCTTATCACATATTTGTCCTGAAAACATTATCCACCTGCCCTGTACTTTATAATAGCAGCAGTGTATCCTTTTATCTTGTGGATGATGTGCCTTTATATTTTGAGAAAAATTTCCAGTAACAGATTTGATTTGCATGGACAGATACTTGAGCAAATGCCAAACTAGCAGGGGGGCCATTATTCTGCTCTATAAATAAGTTTAAAAAAGAAAAAACACACACAGAAACCTGTGAATCAACATGTTTTGGTTTAATTGAGGGGAAAAGCAAGACAGATAAATTTTGAAATGCAAATGATCACCTTCTGTTATTTAAGTATAGTTTCTGCCAACTTTGTGATCTTAGATTTTAAAAAGTCATAATTATTTCAACAATGTAAATAAACTCCCAAGGATGTCCAAGATTCGCAAGTTTCTATAACAAAATGGAGAACTTTTTTAAAAGTTGCCACTTTTTTTATATTAAAGAAAACAAATCCAACAACAAAAAGACAAAAACCATGGAGCTTTCTCTGTCTACATCTGTGAAAAAGCCAGCGCATAAATGGCTGCAGCTGCAGACCCATCAAGAGGGTCTTGAGAATACGAATTCACTGATCAAACCCAGCCCTGTTTTCAAAGTAGAAGCCATTCCTTTTAGGTTCACTTTGTATCCTTAGATTATCTAGGATGATTCTCTAGAAAGGTTTTATTTTAAATAAACATCATTCATGGTAAATGGGTTCCTTTCATACCACAGAAACATAGAATGGAGTTCAGGAAGAGAAAAAGCAAAAGAAATAGTCCTCAAAGTAGGAACAGATTGTATAGCATGACAATATAAATATAACATTGTCTAGTTTCCACATTAGGAGACTTTTAGATACTTTATTAGGATACTTTTACGCAGGTTCTTCTATTTTTTTGTTGTTGTTGTTGTGAGAGATTAGAGAATAAAAACTGGAGTAAATTGGTTATTTTTCTCCAGATGACTTTCTTGTGGTTACTCTGATTTTATATTGTTTTACACATATGCACAAAAGTTTTAGCCAAAGGATTTTTATGTACTTTATCATTTAATCTATTAATGTATGAAAATAAAGAATAAACTTTTGTTTATAGTGTTTTAAGTATAAAGGATAAATAAAATTTCAAGAAGGTATTTTTTTCTTACCACTTTTTTCCTTTGATTTTATTATTGAAAAACAGCTAGAAAATAGAACCTGTACTACTAAGCATGTAAAATACAAACAACAGCAACAACAAAAACACCTGAGTCTGAGGTGGGAGGATTGCTTGAGGCTGAGTTTGAAACTGCAGTGTGTGGTGATCATGCCTGTGAATAGCTACTGCACTCCAGCCTGGGCAACATAGCAAGACCTTGTCTCTTAAACAAAATACAAGAAAACGATATTTGAAAGTTTAATATATGATCTGAGACAAGTGTGTAAAATTATTTGTGTTAGTTAACCTAATATAATCATTTAAGTTTCTCATTCTAGTCTTAAGTTGATATGGTATCCTATCAATGTGAGTTCACTTTTATTTTCTGCCCCATTATGAGTCTTTAATTTTAAATGCTTGAAATTTACATTGATATTTGTCATTGAATCCTTTTCAGACTTGAAAATGTCTGAAAAGTGAATATGTGTGTAAATCGAAGAAGTCCAAAATGGCTTTTCACTGCTGCCCAATCTCCACGCTCCCAGATGTCAAATGACAGCTTTGCTTCCTCTCTTAGTCAATTTCACACTTGGAAACAGCTCACAGCTGACGGTGAAAAATGAAACAGAAAAATCATGCTGAAAACTATCTGTAAAAATTCAGTTTTAGAGCATGCCATTTACTGACTACTTTTCTTTGCTCTTCTAGCCTGACTTTATCAAATAATCCATGAATATATTTTGGGGAGTAATTTCCCTTGCCTTTCTCCATAAACATGCTTCCCATGCCATTTGTTTCTTTTTAGGCGTGGAGCTCTGTGTAATAGTTGTGTATCTGATAATTAAAACTAGGGCTCAGACTGTGGATGGTTTAAAATATCTTGAGGCTATCAGAAGTTTTTTAAGATTTAGAACATTTAGACGGACTTGAGAACTACCAAACCTGCATATTTGTCCCAGATCAGGGGACAATCATTGCTAGACCTCGGGAAATTTATTTAAGACTTTCTAGGCCTCAATTTAAGAGTAGTAAAATAGATTAGTTGGGTATAAATACAATCACATGTCAAATCATCAGACATCCTCCTTAAACAAAATATAGTCAAAATTGAAGTTTGTCTTATAAAGGCAGGATTTTCCCCTCAAGGGTAAATATTGATTT